TTCTCAAGGTTTTCTTTCTATAAAAATATTCTGTTCTCAAACCTTATAATTAGACACACAGCTAACAAGTATAAACATCACATATTTTCACACAGTCTATAAGTATAAACAATACACACTTGACACTTCCATGGCAAGCAAGGCCTACAGAGTGCAGGAAAAATTGTTCAGAGAAATCTCTCTGTCCCGGCGACAAAAGCCTCACCAAACCCAGCTGTAAAACTGTGACTTTTGGTGTTTACTCCCCCCTTCCCCTTCAACGTGCCACATTTAATTAATCAGGTGGTCATTTCAGCCCCCCCAAAGACAAGACCATGATGTGGGGGCTCAGCCCTGTCCCAGCCGTGGCTCACTGTGGGCAGGGAGCACCCACCACCCTGAGTTTGGCAGCCCAGGGGCTGCTCTGGAGTACTCACCTCGCAGGGCAGCTGTCAATGGGTGGGTGATTTCTCAGATCTGAGTCTACTGACCCACAGACAGGGGAAGAGAGTCAACCAACAGAGGCGTGGTTTTGACTTCACAGCTCTTTGGCTATTCTCCAGCAGATCCCAGTGTGATTTATCCAAGGAACAAAGTCCATTTTTGCACCTTGCTTGCTTAAAAATATTTAAGAGTTCCCAGCCAAGGGATCTGTGATGGGCTGGCCCTGGTTGGTGCCAGGTGCTGCTCTGTCACCCCCCTCCTCAGCTGTGCAGGGGACAGAATTATCCCAAACTTTCACCTTGTGAAAGCTCCACAGTCCAGAGCCAGAAGAAATGAGAAGCTGTTGGAGATTTACAACCACCATCATGATATCTGAGAAACCCAGGGGGAGGTTTTGGCTGAAGGGGTCCCACGTGGCTGGGATGGAGGCGTGCACTTTAAATGATACCAGAAAAGATAGACCAAAATGCACCCAACCACAAGTATTGTCCTAACTATATTTATGACTTTGTTATACAGCCTCTCATTATCGGGGGAAATGTTTAATTGAAGAAAGGCTCTAAAGTCGTGCTGAGGGATCAGGGAGAGGTCACTCACCAGTAGTTCTTGTGGGCACAAGAAAGGAATGGATTAACGACTAACAGTTTTTTCTAAATCCATCCTGGTGTTCTTTCAAGAAGGAAATAAGAAAACACACGAACTTCAAACTGCAGGCAGGGAACTGGAATTTGGTTTTTTTCATAGTTTGTTGTTGTTGTTGTTGTTTTGTTGGGTTGGGTTGGGTTTTTCTGAAAAAAAAAACCAAACCCTGCAGACAAGCTCCCTGTCGTGGCCCTGTCGTGACATGGGGGTGCCCAGGGCAGCTGCAGAACGGGCTCAGCCTCCAAAGGGGAAGAAGCAGCACCCGAGAGGCTGCTCAGGATTGTGCCCAGCGGCTCCTGCCCCGGCAGTTTGGAGCCCAGGGGCACCGAGCGCTGACGATTTGACTCACTGCTCTTAAAATGTGCCGGGGACCGGCAGGAAAAGCAGCAGCATGTTGGCTCCAGTCCATGGAAACTGTTCCCCGGCATTTCTTGGCTCTGCGGGGGCGTTAAAATCGCTGCACCGAGGGGTCCCCACCGCCCGCGTCTGAAAGAGCCGCAGCGAGCGTGGGAACAGAAGATAGGAAATAGAGTAAAATAAAATAAAATGCTGCACCGAGGAGTCCCGCCCGCCCGGTGTCACTGAACGGGTGGTGTCGGGGGTGGGCAGAAGGGCTGCGACGAGCGGGGTGGGAGCTTCGAATAAAATATAGAAAATAGAATTAAACACGACAGCAGAGCCTCGGCGGTGCTGGAGGAGCTGCCTGGAGGGACAGACAGACCCTGCCTTGGCTCGTGGGACCCACCCCGTGTCCCTGAAGAGCTGAGACGAGGGGCGGTGGCGTCGAAAGGGCCGCCCCGGGGCGGGGAGATGGGAGGTGAGAACGGAAAAAAAAAGAGAGAGAGAAGGCAATAAAAGACCCGCGACCGAAACAGCAGCACCGACGGACGCTTGCGGCGGTACCGAGCGCTGCGAGGGGGGACGAGCGGCCCCGGGAGCGTCCCCTGCCCCG